TGATGTTAATCAAAAAGTCCTTTTATCATTGTAACAACTACTCGGTCATATGAACATGTAGCTATCTCAAAAGTAAACATTGGTCTATCTGATATATATAATAATGATACTATGTCAGTGTAGAAATTTTTAATCATAGTGATAATTTCATCTCATTTTCGTTTACTTTATTCAGCATAAATGTAACTTCCAAACATGGATTTATTCATTAAAACTCCTATCATTTGTACTAGGAAATTATTCAGCACAGCAGGCATATTGTATGCATGTGTTTTGTTTCTGGTTCCAGGAAGTGTTTTAGCTAAGGATTGCCTAGGGAGAGACCAGTGCTCGTGCGCGTTCGATGATGACGGAAGTTTGATTGTTTTAAATAGTTTAGGAAATTCTGACCTGACTCCACGGTAGTCTTGTATTTCATAATTTGTATCTACATGTATTTGTATTTTGATCGTTCCTTGTTAAGTCTTTGATGTTACATATAATTTAGGATGAAGGTATTTCGAAAAAAAAGAATAAAATCTTCAACAGTTATTCACTGTTTACCATATGACAATATTCATAATCTAAATCAAACCGCTGATATTGCTCGGCACAAAAAATAACCCTTTAATAGGACGCTGAAAATGATTGAGTTATTTGAACACATAATTTTAAACGGTCTACTAGGGAGTGACTTAAGGAAGAGAAGTGACGGCGATCACTCAATGATGATACATGATATTTATTGTTTTATTAGTTGTCAGACACAGAACAAATCATGAAGTTCCTGATACGCAATCAGGAACATACAAAGAAATAAAAACATTGCAAAAAGGTTTAAACCTTAACTATTTAAATATCTTATCTGCTGTGTACCACATTTTATCATATTTTATTCATTTATATATTTGTTAGTTTTCAAGACGTAAGTTCATCAGATGGAAGTACCTACTCCTACAATCCTTGTTATCCATTTACAGAAGGTACCAGTAGTTGTACTCAAGCTGCGGTATGTATGCTCGTTTAATTGTTTATGTTTATATCTTAACGGTCATTATTTATTTGGTTGGGCAACACTGTAACACTTTCAAGCTTTACTGCTTAACGTAGCATTATATGAAGCGCGAACGGACACCTGAGTAGAACCACCAATCACAAATGGATGACTCCCTCACATGAGATAAAAACCGATGTCCCTGTCGGGTTTCAAATCCACAACGGTGAGGGACAAGTGTTTTTGAATTAACGAACTAAACCACTCGGTCACTTGCCCATAAACCACAGCGGAGAAAACTTTTATGTCTCGTCAGCCTTTTACATCTTATTTTGAATACCTTCGTATTACATGTGTATGTTTACTGTAAAATGATTTGTTTAATTCTGAGAAGATGGTATTGTATGTTTATAAAACCAGCACAATCACAGATATATGCTTTTTTTCTATGTAAATTGCCACTTTTAAAAGAAATCAAGCGTTTAATACGTTCTACAGATATATTACCTTAACATGCCAACATTTACATTATAGGCATAAAAAAGGTAATTCACAAAAATATGATTTATTAAACATTTCTTAATTGTTACTATGTTAAAAGATTATGGCTATCAATAATTTAATCTTTCCTGGTTCAAAACTACAATTACAATAAGTGATATAAATGTATCACTCATCTATACATTTATAAATGAAATTGTCATTAAAGTATCATTTACTGTATGTGAAGTTATGTCATTATTTTTGTGACACAAAAGATTTAGTTCTCCCTTAAGGAAACGTTTCTTCAAGAGAGAGCTAAAAACTTAAATCTTTTTTATTGTTATTTACAATCGTGTAAAGTATAATGTCACGTTCAGTCAGTACTTTAAGTACTTTGATTATTATAGGCCTGTATAACGTCTGTTGGACAGACAGAGTCTATCGGTGATGCACAGAGTGCCAAATTTGCTTACTCCGAGGATGATGATGATTTAGAAATAGGTTATACCTCAGGCTCTGGACTTCTCACGTAAGTTTTCAAATATGTCCATTACTTTAACATATCAAATGAGCCGTGTCACGACAAAACCAACATAGTGCGTTTGCGACCAGCAGGAATACAGACCAGCCTGCGCGTCCCTGCAGTCTGATCAGGATCCATGCTGTTCGCTTAACGACTCTATAACAAGTAGAGAAACTGATAGCGAACAGCATGGACCCTGATCAGACTGCGCGGACGCTCAGGCTGGTCTGGATCCATGCTGGTCGCAAATGCACTATGTTGGTTTTGTTATGACGCAGCTCAAATTATATTAATAGTATAATGCTTGTAACTCGTTTTGTAACGATTATAATAATAATAAATTATTAATTAATAAAAATAATTAACAATAATTTATACTATGCAATAACTCTTTCAGAAAGAAATATTCAAATAAAGTATGTATTAGCTGAAATCATTTTTATATCCAGGTCATGAGTCCATTTAAGTGCCATAAAGCTCATTTTTTCACCGGCAAGTGGAGTTGAATTTATTATATATTTCAAAAGATAGACTGTAATCTTGTTATAGTGGTGATTGAGTTCATATCGGAAAATGTTTTGGATAAAATAAAAATCTGCCTAAAATATAAAAAAGACTGACCTACAATTTTTAGAAATTGAACTCCAATAAACCAGTTATATAATTTTCTTTGGGCAACGTGAGTTATTTATCGTTCATGCAAACTTAATTATAAAATTGAAAGGACTTTTGGAAAAATGTAAATTTATTTTGAAGTTCAACTGCCCACTCACTATGTGTCCTTGGATGCCACACTAATCGAAATTAAAAGCTTACATATTTTCCATTGTTTCAACTTGATAGAAATGGAATCAAAATAACATGTTTATGACAATTATGATTTACGAATGACAATTATGATTTACGATTTATTGTTACTTTACGAGATATATCCATTTTATCGTTGATCCAAATATTGATCATGATTCTAAATTGATCGGATTAAATTTGTATTTGCACTGTTATTTTTCCATATTATCCCAGAACAGGGCTGTTTCTTTGCAAACTAGGAATATTGTTACATTTTGTTTACGTTCCGTATAATTCTAGTAGTCTCGTAAGTGAACTGGGGGTCATGCATATATTGAGTTTTACCATGTTAATATTCATTTTAAAAAGAGAAACATGTTTTGATATCTGAAAATACATGTAAAACGTTTATAAATCCATGCAGCCTTTAGAAAATAGACTGTCTCTGTGTTATACTGATATGAAATGTTTTCTTGTAGTATAACTCAGGTGAAGCTAAAATGTGACCAGCATGCATGTCAACCATCACTAACTGCTGAAGGAAATCAAGGTCTGAATCAATATGTAAGTTATTGCTAAATTGGTAGTTAAACTGGTTTAGTTTACAAGTTGCGTCAATATAATAGCATTACTCAGGTACAAACATCTCAACTGACCTTTCATAAGCTAGCTTGATAGCTTCCTCATATGAAAGAATCCAAAGTCGCTGGCCTGATGCGAACATAGAGCGTTGAGGGACAACTAATTTTATGTATTCACATACAGTGGCTTCTGCTATTAAATATTTCTTTTAAATGAATGTAAATCAGCTTAAAATAACCGTGTATGCTATTCTACGACCAATGCGACCAGCACAGAGCAAGATTATGGTCTGCATTGTTTCGCGGTTCATTTTGTACATAGTTTTGAAAGTTTCTCTAACATGATGAATGATTAGTCCAGACTGAAAGATGGACATGACTTTTAAAGATATTTAACTTAAAAAAGGTTAGATATTAACTAATAGTGGAGTTTCGTTTGATCCTATAAAGGCCCGATATGCCGCAATTTTTTTTATATCTCAAACGCTTTTTAATTTTGGTATACTTTTACACATTGTAGTATGCAAAAGGTTTCTCATTGGCGAATTACTTTTTCATCTGCTTCTTTTTTTCTCTCCTTTTTCTGAAAGTCAAAATACTACTTTGTTTACATCTTGCAACTTTAATGACCAATTATTTTAATTTTATCGCTACTTTTTTCGGTTAAATACAAATTTAATTTCTCTAAGCCCAATATTTGAACATTATAAAATTCATGTTGGACCTTTCTAAAGAGGTAAAAATATTTTTGTTTCTGAGGCAAAATGTGCCTTTGATATAAACAATGAACGATTTCATTTTTAAATTCGTTTTATAAGATGATTCCTGATATTTATTTATTGTGAACATAATCACCAGACTTCTAAAGTGTATACAGAATAATGACCAAAATAATTTCTTGCATTTCTATATTCTAAAGATTTATAATCGCAGTAATATTGTACTTATATAAAAGAAACATTACATTTGTTTTCTAGGCGTTGACATTAACAACTGTTTGCGCATGCCCGAATGGATGCAATGAGGATGGTCCCATAAACTGCACTCCTGGCAGCAGTTCTGGGGGAATAGGAGGAGGTGCCGTTGTTCTTATCATGTAAGTAAAACCGAAATTTTCATATATATGAATATATAATACATACATTACATGTAATTAAAGAATGTTATGAAGTGTGCGTATTATAGTTTCAAACACAGTTTCGTGTTTGAAAGAAACCCTCCAGTTTCTATAACATTATTTCATCATGCTTTGTTTAATATAATATATTACTTTCTTTCACCAATGTATAAATAAATGTGGCATAGATTGTTAAAATTTTGGAAGGAACGTGACTGTACGGTATACATAGTACACACCGTATATATTGCTTGTATTTCATTTAATAGTTTATATAAAATTTGAAAGTTATAAACTCGTATGTCACGAGTTTGACATAGCTACAAACTTCACAATATGTTTCACTATTCTGAAGATTTCTAAATTAATGTTTAGAAATATTACTTGAATAAATATTTGTTTAACATAAAGAGGAAGATATTATATAAACCAAAATCAGTGCTGCTTTTATAAAACTTATGCAATAAAAAAAGAAAACAATGGCTGAAACACGTTGAAAATAAGCCACAACATAGAAGAAATATCAAATAGGCTAGGCATTTTAGCCAAAAATAAGACCCAACCTCAAACAAATTCCTTCAGAAAAGATATTTGCATATTTGTTATCTACTATATATGTGTTGCTACAGGTAAAAAGTCCTCAAAAAAATTCGAAGTATAAAATGCTAAAAATGTCATTTTTTGAAATCATGTTTTTTCAATTAGAAAAATCTGTGAAATTAAATAACCCAGATATTCTACGCAAATATGATCATTAACAAAGTAACACATTTATACACAAACATGCTTTATTTAATCCAAAACACTTCAACCAATGTTGATTACATTCAAAAAGTCGCAACACTGCATAATCTATACATCATCATTTAGACTAGTATAAAACATTACCCCACCCACTAATGATATATTTTTTTTTACTTTAAGTCAGATTCCATTTAATATTCTTACAAGTTAGCTCTACCATTAATAAAGTTGTATGAATCTTTTAAATTCATATTATAATTCAAAATTGCAATACATTTTACACGAATAATTATTATTTATACTGTATACATTGTATTTGCATTTCTGTGAAAATCAATCCTTCAAGTGAATATCTTACCAATGCTAAAATGCACTTACTTTACCATGGAAGTTTTGTAAAAAAAAAATATTTTAAAAAGACATTTAAAAATAAAATGAATCTTCTGAATGTTAATACACTGAAAAAACACAATGTTATTTCATCATTTTTGTCACCGAGGCCCGACTATCCATATAGTCTGACAACGCTACACATGTATATATACATATTGCCCTGCCCTTGTTCAATGCTGAAATTATATCTCCACCTTTTCGGCCGTAGCTGTTGAAACCTTTAGCCTATACCCTTTTCACAGAGACACATTGTTTCGCATCTGTAAAATTGTTACAACATAATATGATTAATAAAAATTCGAACTTTGCATTCTGCTTTTAAAATAAAACAATTGTATGTCAAACTGAAAATGTAGGTACTATGACAAGCAAGATAAGATTTTGCTTTTAGATTTATATTTTTATATTGAATTATCTACAAATAATTCATACATTAACGAGGCACGTTTAGCCTCAGCAAAAACGTGCCTCAGCTTTCTTCTTTAGAAAATATGTTTCATGTTATATTGTTATAACTTATAACAAATTTAAAGCGTGTAAATTGCCTATCGGCTGAAAGAAGTGCTGACTGTGAAACATCATAATGTGCCATATAAGTAAGAAATACTGAACAAAACAGCACCTATACTTTCATACAGATAACTAAATTGGAAGTTTTGGTCGAGTGTTTAAGGTCACTGACTTCAAAACACTTGCTTCTTACGGTGTTAACGATGAAGGGTGTAGGTTCGAGTCCTGCCTGAGTTTTGGAGTCTATTATCTGACATAGCTATCCCAAACTAACTTATAGAATATTGGTGGTTCTACGCCCTAAAAATAATACCTATGCCACACTTTTTCCTTCACCAGTAAAGCTTGAAAGTTATTATATGACCTGTGAAGTGTTGATGTGACATAAAAACAAACAAACAAATCTCTGATCTTAGTAATTCCGAGAATGTAACAAAACTGAATTCCCTTTAGAAAAGTTATATATGCAGTAGCACACAAAATTGAATCTGGTACACCAACTGTGTATTAAAAATATAGATGGTTTTTCTTTGATTTACCTGTTAATTGCTTTTATGCTGGATCTTTTCAAACAGAATCCATTTAGCCTCTTCTAACTTGGAAATATGGAAAATTCTTGCCACATCCAATCAACGGATTGATTTATGTTAACAAAATATAAAAGGCTGGACTCTCGCTAAATATTGTCTTCTGCAATCAACCATCCCATACTATGTTTAGCCCTTCCTCTGAAAATAAGATATATAAAGTCCTTATTTCATGTTTTCCAGTGTTTTATTGTAATCTATCAGATAATTATATTCTGATAAACCACTAGTGAAATTTATAAAATATAATTTTCACTGTAGCCGGATTATATCTGAATGCGGATGATGGAAATCATAACGAAATGGAATAACAGGCAGAAATAAATGCTGTCATGCGTAAATTTTGCTTCTTTAGGAAAAGAAAGTCGATGTCACCAAACATCATGTTAAAAATGTAACAAAATTAGAACTATATTTCAAAACTAATGATGTGACGTCATGATGTGATGATGTCACAAAGGAGAATGCGCGACATTACGCGGCAAAATCAGCTTAAAATATACTTAAAATCACTTAAAAAACATGAAATAAAAAGAAAATATATTTTTGTTTTACATATAAGATTGAAATATATTTCATTCGTGAACACCAGCTATTATATTTTCACTCGTGGCTAAGCCACTCGTGAAAATATTGCATCTGGTGTTCACTCAGTGAATCAATCTTACATGCAAAACAAACAAATATCCTCTACATAAAACATTATCAAAAAGATATTAAAAAGAAATAGTATTGAAATGATATAATAGGGAAACGCCTGAGAAAATGTTGGTATGAGCAAACTCTTTTGTATGTGCATTTATTATAATTATGCTGTAAAACAATGATGTAAATTTGTGTTGATATATCAATTTCTGTTGTATTAACAAACCTGAAATAAGATATATCTATGTAAAAAGCCATTTTTCTCTCACATCCCATTACCCCTTGTGTAGAAGTCACGTGTCTATCCATCTTCTAACTAATTATACAACAACTGTTCTATAAATGCTGAAAACAACATGGAAAACATTACTTAAAATATACATACAACTGGCACTGGTATCATGAGGGCAGATTATCAAGCTACACAAAGTTGTAAAACAGAATTATTTTCTACAGATGAATGCCATATTTGTATATGATTATCAAGAACTCTTTGTTTAAATATTTTTGGAAATAATTTACTATCTACGATATTTTTTTCAAAAAAGTATTCGGATAAACCATATATATCTAGCATTTCTTTAACATTTGATACCCAGTTTTTTACCTTTATAAAAATCAGATAATTAATTAATATGTTTTCCGTAAAATTATATTGTCAGTATTTATCAATTTGCACCAAAACTTAATTATTCTTACGTATCGATTTATATACAATGGGTAACGGCCGAGTCCGCCGTATATACGAACATTGCTTGTATTGGCTCTAACATTTAAAATTATTTTATAATATTTCAAGTGAATACGCTCAATTATATTTTGATTTGCTATAACCCCATACTCTCAGATGCATATGATATGATTGAGCCTACAAAAAAATCAAATAATTGGCATAATAATTTGGGTTTTAAATCCATGTCTTCTGTTAAGAAGTAAAAGTAATGTATAAAGTTCCAGTAACAACTTCCTCATTAATAGGTAATAACTTTAGCTTGATTACACCCTATTGGATACGCTGTCTACTTTTCATATAACATGCTGGAATATTATCATTTCGCTTAGAAATGCATTATGTATTACAAAATACGTTTGTTTACATCAAGTTAACATATTATTTGTTTTTATTATGATTTCCACAATTCATAAAACATGCCAACTCTTTGAAATAAGTCAAATTTAACATTTTAAAAATATCCCTAGATTTTCGTGATTTTGGTCACAACACGCTTCCGTAGAAAGAAAAATTTACATAACTTGTGCATACACATTTTTTTAAAATACTCAGTAAGATGTGTGGTTAATTCTGTGTCATTTTAGATAATTGTACAAAAGGAAACAATGTAGGACAGTGAGTAAAAGATAAACTCTCTTTTAATGATTACTTCATTCAAAATTGTGTTTAAAATCGCGAAATTATATGACACATTTTGTCATCTGCATAATCGATTGATTGGTGGTCAATTAAATCTATCTACTGACATATTTTTCCCTAATTTATACAGAAGAATATAAAAAATGACTAAAATTACTCACTTTTGCACTAGGAATGCTGGAATTGAAGTAACTTCAGATCTTTCAACGAAAATATAATAAAAGTGACGTCACCGAACGTGCATAAAATTAAAGTATGGTGTAATTTAAGAGACACATTTAAATATCGATTTTTACGAAATCTTTATGATCGATTTTTAAGGATTCTGCAAGGAGATTTTTTGAGGACTTTTTTCTCAAAATGTAGATAATGTTTATCTTTTATTTCATCGTGAAAACATTTGTGAAGGAATTAGTTTTACCTTAATTTCTATTATGACTGGCCTACAAATTATGATAAGCTTCAATTTATTATCTAAATACGATTTAACACTGTATGTAAATTCAACATTAGTTAAACAGTGCTTTCCATACTTAGAGTCACACTTAAATATCTCATACTTTGCATATATTTTTTTCTCAGATTTTTCGCCTTTTTGTTCATATATTTCGTCGGTGGTACAGTGTTTCTTGCAGTTGGTAGAAAAGCTCGAGGTAAAGAAATGGTACCTAATGTTACGTTCTGGAGCAGTTTACCAGGATTAGTCAAGGTGAATAATTACAACTATATAACAAAAACAAGAATTAAGAAGAATATACATATACATGTAGTTAAATAAAAATAATTGTACATTGTGATGAAAACAAAATAATTGTCCTTCATGATTGTCTTATGATGTAAAGCATACGTAGGCTGATAGATTTGTGAAAGACATGTTAACAATCTGTACAAATATATATTTAGTTTTAGATATGTCAAAAAGGCAAAAAGTACGTCAATAATTTTATAAGTATAAAATACATACAGTCATATATTACTGATTCATAAGCAGATTAAAGTGGAGGGGGTGGTTATCAATAATATTATATTGTTTTATACCATATATTTATATGTTTTGTCAGACTGTCGGTAGAAAGGGTTGTCTTAAGATCGTTAGATCCAGTTTGTACCTAAATAGTATAAGTCAATGTTTTTTTCTAAGAATACTGTATAATTCATAATTGTATGTCATCTATTTTAGGACGGTGTCTTGTTCACATTATCACCAGTGCTGGGGAAGAGATCCGGCTATGTCAGCAAATAGTTGTTCAACCAAAAGAAATTCATATTTTATATGAAAGCATGATCGAAAATTAAACTAAATTGTGAATTTTAATGTTGATGTCAAAATGCTTAAAATTTTTAAATAACTCGAAGCGAACTCTTAAAAATGTAAAATGACAATATTTGTTTGATAATCGTTTCGTGATATACATATTTAAAATTTGTTGAATGTATTACATGTTACTACTAGTATTATTTTTAAATAATGTGTGTTTTAGAATAACACTATTAGAAATATAATTTATGTATTATATAAAATGTTTTGTTTTCATAACTTAAACGGTTAAATATATTTTACATAACGTAACATAATAATCGCAGGGTGAATGATTTAATGAGTACGAGGGTTTCTGAAGATGTAAATATTTGAAAAAAAAAACAACATGCATTAGCACTTTTATTGCAGAAAAGTATATGTCTAATTCTTTAATATTTGTTTTCCGCAAAAAGCACCAGGTTCCGGAATGCCTTCACGTGCTAGTGCTATTTATATAATTGATAATGAAACTTCCGGGGCTGTCATAACAGTAAGCTGTTTTTACGACATCCTTATAGCCGCATGCTAAACAACGTACCACGTCGGCGTCTGTTTGCTTGATTTTATCTCTTTAAGTACGATTTCTTCTCCTAAATGTGTTCCTGCGCACAAAGTACAAATCTATGGATGAACTTGTCCTGTTTTGAATAAGGAACTCTTCTTTAAGTAAATGAGGAGGTTTTGATATCAAATCCCAACATCTAGCAGTACATGTATAACGTTTTGCCAGACTTGATGTTCCACATTATTTTTAGTAACTTGCTTGAACAAATTCAATAGTGAAGTAATTTTTTTAATTTTGTGTTTTAAGTAACATTACGTCACATAATGTCTTTCCAGCTCTATTGGTGGAGGATACGTCGGGTGCCCCTCTGTGCTTTATTTCAGAGACAAGAGGGGACCTTATTAGAACCACCGATGTTCCGTAAGTTACTTGGATAGATGATGAAATAGATCATCATGAAATTCATCACAATATGATTTCAATAAAATAAAAACTCATATCCGATTGTAACCTCACTAAAATTGTCATCTTGAACGCAAACAATTCGTTTTGTCAGAAACAAAGCGAGGTAGCTTTTTCATGTAAAGACTTTTTATGACAACAGATTTACCTCCCGTGTTTCACATTTGTCGTTAGTTATATTAACAAACAATACGGAAACTTATAATTCTACAGGACTAGAAATTTAAGACCCCAATTTAATGGAAATAATTAATTAATTACAGGACAGTAATCTAGAACAATATCTTATAGAACTTACAAATATTAATTTATACATGCACAATTTGCAGTACAGCTTAATCATAACGATTATGATAGTAGAAACACTCAAGATACCATAATGAAAAATTATTTCAATAACTGATCAATTGTTTCAATTTAAGCAATTTGACCTTTTCCCAATTTAGCCGTCTAACTTGAATTGATACTACTTAAAAGTTTAAATTGAAAAATTGAGCCTTTAACGTACATGAAACGTTATAGTAAGGCGCCGCCATTTACAATGTCACTAAATAATAATAGGCGGTTTATTCCGATAACGGAACAAATCTCAACTTTTCGGATTAATAAAAATCGACGAGTGCTCCAAGTAAAAACGGAAGCGGTGCATAAAATACCGAATGACACCTTTAAAACGAAAAAATGAAAGGAATTTTTAACGACTTCCCTGTTCATAGGCTTTGCCTAATTTCATATTAATTATTTTATGTCAGTTCTGGTCTAAATAATATACTACACAGCGATCAGTTGTCCAGTGGTAAATGTGTCAGATTCTCAAGCCAACGGTTGCAGGTTCGAAACTAAAATATAAATGTTCAGATTATTCGCATTTACTTTTTTTCTTTGAAGCTTATGTAATACGGGGAGGTCAAAGACCGGGACCGCTTTGGCTTGCCCGGCTATAGTCAATACCAATCAGTGAAATTTTCAGTGCCATGTCTAGTTAGATGCCGCCATTTTCAATGTAACTCAATGATAATAGGTGGGGTATTCCGATAACGGAACAATCGCAATGTTTCGGCTTAATAGTAATCGTCGAGGTTTTCCAATTTAAAACGGATGCGGTGCATGAAATACCGAAATACACCATCTAAAACGGAAAAATGAACGACTTTCCCCGCTCATATAGGCTTTGCCTTATTCCATATTATGCCAAATAAGTCGATTTTAACGAATCATTGATATGTCACTTTAAGTATGAGATATTCAACGATTTCAGAATTGTGTAATAGTTGATGTACAAACGGCATTAAGTTAACACGCATCTGCATTTAGGATTGTCTCCGAGTTCAGCTTATTTGTCCGACATGAAAACATTGTTAAACATGACCGAAATGTTAAATATGTGTCAAATGACAGAATACAATTATATTTTTAATCAATGTATTATAACATTTTTTCTTGACAAAGATGTATTGAAAATTAACAATTATTTCATCCAATTATGTTCTCACTCCACTCATCTCTGGCAAGAAGAAATCCAGAGAAAGTTGAGAAACAGCAGTGAATAGAGAAATTATTCGACCAAGCTCCGTGCACACGAACCCACACGTGTTCGCCTTTCTGAAGAGAGGTGACGGCCATGTTGCTAGATGAGTCATGTGAATTTGTCGCTCCTGAGTACATTTCCGCTAGCTGGCTCCCGTTTTTCACAATTTCTGTTTCAATGTAGGTGAGACCATTTCCAACTTCAGACATAATATTTGCATAGAAAACATAGACGCCGCTTTCCGGCGCAATAAAATATCCGGTAACGTTGTCGTAACCATTACCAAAATTACTTCCGGTCCGGTCGAAAACAATCACGTTGTGATGGGCGAGGGATTTTAAATGAGATGAGACTGTGGCAGTGAAAGCAATCTTTGCTTGTCCTTCTTGTCGTCTGCAAAACATGTAAAATAATGATAAATAAACTACACGAATATTTAAATAATGTATCATCGTATGTTTAATCCTATAACACTTTAAAGAAAATTTATTTTTTTACTTATTTTGTTATTTTATTATCATTACATTTTTTATTGCTAACCTCATCACATCCCGTATTAACAGCAGGTGTTTTGTTGTATTATAAATATAAAGCAGAAGGATAAATATTGCGCGCTTTTTTACGCTAACTATGTTTTCTTTCTATTTCCTCCACTGACAATTCCAGAGTTTTGGAATTTCAGTAATTAAGCCACATGTCTTCTAATAACATGTTGTTTAAACTTTCACTTCTTTGAAATTATCGTAAATTCCGTACAGATTTATTCAGGTTTTGTAAAATTATGATTTAAAAAATGACACACACCTGTTCCTGAAATGTCCATTTTGATTTTGTTGTCGGAGAAGCTTGATTTCCTTTTTCAGTTTCATGTTTTCCAGCTCGACATTTTCAACTCGTTTAATCAGTGCATCGACAGCTTTCCTCGTATCTGTATCACCAATTGCAGAAATTACTGCAATAAAACAACATAACAAACATACTTGTAGAATTTTCATTGTTGTTAGCTAACAGACAGTTGACCTAAATTATAGTTAAATATAATGTAAGGTGATAAGAAAACACATGTATATAATGATATGTAGAGGATTTGTGCCAATAGGAGTTATATCCCTTGTCTGCAAGTGATTAATAAAAATAAAGGGGAAGGGGGTTAAAGAAGATGTTAAGAATGCGCTGTGATTAACTTACCCTTTCACATTTTAAACTTGTTACAACAATGATATTCAAGTTCCCTATGCCACAGTAATGCTTAAACTAGTACACTATTATGCAGTTATTATATCGATAAAACTGCTCGGTAAAGCTCGTCATTTTCCGTGGTATTCTGATAGTAATGCTTTTATTTTTATTTCTCAAAATCTGTTTTTGGTCTCTTGTTACAGTTTCCAAATATATACTAATTTGCTAATACATGTATATACATAAATTATCGTTTACATCCTTAGCTTTGTTTGCAAAGTATAATTATATGAATCAATATTTTGTATGGAAGTCAAAATACTACTTTGTTTATATTTTGCTACCTTAACGGTACATTATTACATGTTCGGCGCTACTACATGTAACAATTCATGTTCTAAATCTCCGACACTTCTAAAGAATTAAAAAAGATATTTGGATTCCTGGGGCAGAATGTGCCTTAAAACATAACACTGATTAATTATCTTACTTTATATTATATCAAATAATGTATTGTCTTGAAGACAGACATGTACATATCGTCACATATATGTGGGACTGAATTAGATTAGATTGTTTGGTATAAAGTCGAGTGTTTTATACCAGGTGTCGTCAAAATAGCACGAGCGGAATTCGAGCATGGATATAATATAGCAACTGATACTCCCTCTAACCCAAATACAGAACGTACCTGCAAACCTATAAAATTGATATCAAATTGCTTTTTTTTTAATTGTAATCGCCGTTCATGGACGGCGACATATACTATTAATAAGGTTTGAACAGTTCTACCTGTACACCGCTTTAGCCAATCAAATCGAATAGTTGAATATCACATGATAACAAAATGGACGTCAAAAAACTTAAACGAGGGGTGCTTAAATTGACTCGCTCAACCACCATGTTTGTCGAGTTACCTATTTGTACAACTGAAAAATATCATTATCAATGTATGAACTCAGTACATGTATTTATAGGCTTTTGCAGGATAAACATATCAAATTGTAATACATAAATTATTATTTCTGATCTAAAAAGGAGTATATTTTGTTTTCTTTCCAAAACTTGCACTTAAAGAAAAAACTTTCTAAATGTTTTCTTCCGGGCGAGTTAATACTATGAGTGTTGTTATTGCATAATGCTTATAATATAGCATGTCAGTTATAAAAAAAATCGTAAAGCAGTCGACGGAGTATATAACGTAAATTCCATTTATAGAATGTTCACAGACTGCAATTTTAATGTGTAGCAAGTAACTGTTGTTTATTACGCAAGAATCTAATTCTTTTTGCCGATTGATGCACTTATTAAGAAGCGCATGTAGTCTTACCAATTGTACTACGAGTCAAGTTATTGTGATATTTTTCATGGACCATACTGAGTATCTCCTGCATTCTGACCAAGCAGAATCTAACTGAGCGCGTCAAAATATTTTGACAATTCAATTCAATTCAATATTTATTTGGCATAAACATATACAATGTTCATCGCCAATACACAACTGTATGTCAGATCTAATGTACAATTGAGAAAAGTATGTTATTATAGAGTTACAGTTGTAGATAATACATGCATTTAATCATTGATTAGGCAATAAATGACATTAGTCATATATGATTCTTTTAAATCATTTTACAATATCAACACAATGCAGGAAGAAGTTAACAAGCTATAACAATAAATACAAACTCATTTAAAAAAAATGATGAAAAAATGCAATATGGTCATAACATATTTCTTTTAACATTAGCTAAATATATATATCTTGAGGTTTTGTTTAAAATGCTACTCTGAGTACTAGATAATAATGTTTTAAATTTGTTCAAATTAGGCCAATGACAATAATATTTCGGCAAGCATGCGTTTCTTGTTTCTCTATAAAAAGGGCAAAGTAGTAAAAAATGATATTCGTTTTCAATACTACTCATATTACATTTTGTACATATTCTAAGTCTTCTGTCAATATTTCTATGCCTTCCCTCTTCTATAAGTAGATTATGAGCGGAACATCTTAGCCTAGATAATGCAATTCTGTGATTAATATTAGAGATACTTGATAAATATTTCTCTGTACAAAAATCTGTCTTTATCAAACAATATGTTTCTAGTTTTGGTGAGTTACGAAGTTCAGAATAAAACTGTTGAATATACTGATCATAAATTGATCTAATAACACATTGAATCTGTAAATTTGTTACAGATGAATTATTCCATAGGTAGGAAAAACCTGTTTCATCTAGAATGTTCTTAACATTTTTAGACCATTTATTTACTGGATTACCATTAAAATCATGCCCCATAAATAATTTATACATAAGAGAATCTGTGTTTGACATTATCTTAAACCAATATTTAATCATTCTTATCTTCCGCATAAAATATAGTGGAAGTCTTCCAAATTCATCATATAATGTAATATTTGATGTTTGTGTTCGAATTGTAAAGTTTCTTTGTTTTTTTTTTAATTTCATATGAACCTTTTCAATATCTGGTGCCTTATGAAAACCCCAGACTTCACAACCATAATTTAAAATAGAGCAAACCATCAAATCAAAGAGTTTAATCTTTTCAGAAATATTGAAAGATACAACATCGAATAATGAATTAAGAGAATACAATGCTCTTTGTGCTTGTTGTGTTAATGATTTCTGAGCTTGATAAAAACATCCGTTAGAAGATAACGTTACACCTAAATATGTAAAAGTACGTACAATATTGAGCTTACAATTGTTATAAAATACTTCAAAATGATATGGATAATTTCCCTTTTTAAAAACCATAGCAACTGTTTATCAATGTTAACTGTTATAACCCAATTGTTACAATACACAAGTAAATTATTTAACAATCGTTGAAGCCCTTCAGAAGAATATGACATTAACACGGTGTCGTCCGCAAAAAGTAATAGGAAAACTTTCAGTTCCTCTAAACAAAACTACGGTGGCACAAAGGTGACATGTGTGTGTTTTTATTTATCTCGTGGCCACGAGATACTATGTCGTGGCCACGTGTTACTAAGTCGTGGCCACGAGATAGCTAAGTTGTGGCCACGAGATACTATGTCGTGGCCACGAGTTACTAAGTCGTGGCCACGAGATAGCTAAGTCGTGTCTACGAGATATTAAGTCGTGACAACGAGTTACTATGTAGTGGCCACGAGAAAGCTAAGTCGTGGCCAGGAGTTACTAAGTTGTGGCCACGAGATACTTTGTCGTGGCCACGAGTTACTAAGTCGTGGCGACGAGATCTATGTCGTGGCCACGAGTTACTTAGTCGTGGCCACGAAATAACTAAGTTGTGGTCACGAGATACTATGTCGTGGCCACGAGTTACTAAGTCGTGGCCACGAGATAGCTAAGTCGTGACCACGAGATACTATGTCGTGGCCACGAGTTACTATGTCGTGGCCACGAGATAGCTAAGTCGTGGCTACGAGATACTTTGTCGTGGCCACGAGTTACTAAGTCGTGGCGACGAGATCTATAACCATTTATATGAATTGCCATAATTAACTAGACATGTGCTATAGTACAAGGATGCCCCTACTTCACAAGCCTGTAAAAGTGCCATTTATACTACTTATTGACTGGTCAATAATTTTACATTTAGCGTCACTGTGACCCTGATTTTTGACCCAATTACCTCGAAATGTTTAGATGTTATCTACTGATCAGGTGCAATGATATTTCTGGGTTATATAAACGATGGCTTATCCCTTCTTAATTATTCATCTGACAAGGACTTTACCTTATAGGCTATCTTCTGTCCATAGGCAATGTCCCTTCCAAATAAAATAAACCAGGACTTATTCCTTCTCAAGTTATCGTATATACAAGGTTAACAGGCCATAGTACGAACAAACTGACCAATTCGATCACAAAAGTGTCCCAACAAAGAGCTTTAGTCAAAATAAATGTCTGATGGGCCTTCGAATGTGACTTTCTAATATGATCCTAAGGACAAGTGCAAAGTGAATATCTTCAGAATTTTCAAAGATTAATGTTGCATGTAAAAGTAAGTTGTTAAGTTTAAAACATTCATAATGTATATAGTGTATTCTGATTGGGTAATTATCTCGTGCTCACGACTTATCTATCTCGTTCCCACGACTTAGTAACTCGTGGCCACGACATAGTATCTTGTGGCCACGACTTAGCTATATCGTGGCCACGACTTAGTAACTCGTGGCCACGATATAGTATCTCGTGGCCACGACTTAGCTATCTCGTGGTCACGACTAAGTAACTCGTGGCCACGACTTAGTAACTCGTGGCCACGACATAGTATCTCGTGGCCACGACATAGTATCTCGTGGCCACGACTTAGCCATCTCGTGACCACGACTTAGTAACTCGTGGCCACGACATATTATCTCGTGACCACGACTTAGTAACTCGTGGCCACGACTTAGCTATCTCGTCGCCACGACTTAGTAACTCGTGGCCACGACATAGTATCTCGTGACCACGAATTAGCTATCTCGTGGCCACGACTTAGTAACTCGTGGCCACGAAATAGTATCTCGTGGCCACGACTAAGCTATCTCGTCGCCACGACTTAGTAACTCGTGGCCATGACATAGTATCTCGTGGCCACGAGATAAATAAAAACACACACATGTCACCTTTGTGCCATCGTACAAAACAAATCTATTGTGTCATCAAGAATACATTGATACATATCTTTTATGAGAAACAGAAATAATAATGGCGATAAAGGCTCGCCTTGTTTAACACCTTTAACAAAACTTTCAAAACACATACCATTAACACGTACACAACTTGTTACATTTTCATACATTTTTTGCAACATTTTAACAAATTTTGTCGAAGCACCTGATTCTAATAATTTTAACCA